TGTGTGTGTGTGTGTGTGTGTGTGTGTGTGTGTGTGTGTGTGATAGACTTTTAAATATCCATTTTAGCCTTTAGAGAGGTTGATTAGTTCCCAGCACGCTCTTCCTCTGCTCCCCTCTCCTCACGCTCTCCATGTGTTTTACATTCTGCATTACTGTGGTACCTTTGGGACAGTTGATGAATGAGTATCAATACATGGTTATTGACTAGAGTGAGGGTTTGCATGGCCGGACCTCTGGGGTGTGACGAGTGGGGCATTACTGGGTCATCCAGAAGAGTGTGGCTGCCCTGACCTCCCTGTGTTCCACCTGCTTTTCCCTCCCCCTGAGCCCCGGGCAAGCACTGATCTTTTTGTTGTCTCTATTTTTTGCCTGTTCTAGAATATTTAAAAGAGGCCTGCTGTCATCCACCACGGTGCTTCCAAGTTTCCCCTTGTCTTTCTGTGGATTGCTAGTTCTTTCTCGGACACACGGTTTCACTGTGCAGTTCTCCAGGGCTGGGATTACAGGCCTCTGCCACCATGCCCAGGCTGCTGATTCCTTTTTATTGTTAAATAATATTCCATGGTGTGATGCATCATAGTTTACCCACTTCTCCCAGGCACAGTTTGTAGACATGGTCTCCACTTGGTAGGATTGCTATCTGGAGGTTCCTTGGGTAGCACTAAATACCGCACTTAGGAAGCTCATACCCTCATCGTGCCCACACCACCACCCAGCAGGGACGACCTCTGTGGTGCCCACCACAAGACCTACCAGGCCCCTGATGCCCAGGATGCTCCACATACCCACTAATCCTCACCCCCGTGGAGCCCACCATACCATGCATCAGGCATGATGGACAGCAGATGCTGTGACTAGCAGCAGTTACTTTGTACCTGTGTGTCCTGCTCTTCCTGCAGCACACGGGCTCAGTTTAACACCTGCCGAGAGCTGGGGCCCCAGTGAACACCTTGTCCTAGGAAAGGGTTTGGGCTGCAAACCATAGACATGATTCAGGTTCATTTCAGTGGCAGAGCTCCTGGAAGGAGACAGGCCAGTTCCCAGAACTGGAGTGCCTTGGAGACCCCAGCCTGGGTAGGAATGGAGGGGTCTAGGCATAGCGAGAGCCCAAGGCCCCTGTCCCTTCTGTTACAGTGGCCTTCAGAGCTGGGCAAATAAAGAGGGAACTGTTTTATTATATAAGATACAATTGGTCTATTTCATTGTTATTGGGTTGTTTGTTTTTTGTTGTTTGACACCGGGTCTCACCATGAATCTCTGCCTGGCCTAGAATTTGATAGATAGTCCAGGCTAGCCTGGAACTCACAGGGATTTACCTGCCTTGGGCTCCCAAGTGCTGGGGTTTAAGAGATTTACCTGCCTTGGGCTCCTAAGTGCTGGTGTTTAAAAAAAAAAAAAAAGGCACCAAGAATGCCTTGTTTTATTTTTGCCTGGAAATTTGTAGACCAAGGTGACCTTCCTGCCTCAGTCTCCCAAATGATGTCATTACAGACGTGTGCCACCCGCTGCACCTGACTGGCATAACTTGCTTTCTTTTCCTTTTTGTTTTTGTAAGACAGGATGTCACTGTGTATCCCTGACTGCCCTGGAAACTCACTCTGTAGACCAGGCTGGCCTCGAACTCATAGAGATCCTTCTGCCTCTGCCTCTCAAGAGCTGGGATTAAAGGTGTATGCCACTATACCTGGCTACAACTTGCCTGTTTAAAGAGCACAATTCAGTGGCTTTTAGCATATTCACAGTCACATAAACATTGCCACTAATTCTAGAACATTTTATCACTTCCAGAAGCAGCTCCCACGTCAGGTGCTCCGTCCTTCTCTAACGCTCCTGGCCCTGGGATTATTCATTAATCATTGTCTGTTTGCCTGGGCAGGCCTTATAAATAGAGTCACTTAATAAGCAGCCTATTTTAACTAGCTTCCTCTATCTACGGAAGCATTTTCAAGATTTGTTTGTCAATCAAGCACCCATGTTTTACTCCCTTGTGCGTGTGTCCTTTTTTAGGTACCGACTCCCTGTTTCTGGGACAGGGTCTCTCACTTGGCCAGCAGCTCATCAGTAGGCTAGGCTCGCTGGCCATCGAGCACAGGGTTCTGCAGGTTTCCAGCTCCCCAGAGTTGGGATTGTAAGTACATGCAACCCTGTCTGGTTTTACTTATTTAGTTATGTGTGTGTGTGTGTGTGTGTGTGTGTGTGTGTGTGTGTGTGTGTGTGTGTGTCAGTGCCCTTGTGGAGACCAGAGGGAAACTTGTGGGAGCCGGTTCTCTCCTTCTACCATGTGGGTTTGTTCTGGGGGTCAGACGGGTCATCAGGCTCAGTGACACCCACCTTTACCCCCTGAGCCACCTCACTGGCTCCTATGCCCAGCTTCTTAATGTGGGTTCTGGGGATCAAACGCAGCTCCTCATGCTTCCAGGGCAAATGCCTTACCACCTGGGCTGTCACCCTGTCACCCTGTTGCTTTTTTTTTTTTTTTTTTTTTTTTTTTTGGTTTTTCGAGACAGGGTTTCTCTGTGTAGCTTTGCGCCTTTCCTGGAGCTCACTTGGTAGCCCAGGCTGGCCTCGAACTCACAGAGATCTGCCAGCCTCTGCCTCCCGAGTGCTGGGATTAAAGGCATGTGCTGCTGCCACCACCGCCGCCACCACCACCCGGCACCCTGTTGCTTTTCACTGTGCTGGTTCACCTCGCCCCAATTCTGTGACAGGTAAAGTAGGGCTCTGAGAGAATGACTTGCAAAGGCACACAGCAAGTCTCCTGAGAGAGACCACACTAAGACTCGGGCCCTCACACCTCAGAGAGGAGCCTGAGCATCATGGTCTGAGATCTGGTTGGCTTGGCAGCTGGCAAGCTGTCCCCAGCTTGTCCCCAGCCTCCCCTTCGGAGGGTGGAGGAGTGGGGACACTCGTCAGGCACATTCCAAGAGGTTAGGGTGGCAAGAGGACCTTGGAGGTGGGCACACATACCCACTGTCTTGCCAGGGCCCCGTAGCAGGCACTTTCTCTCCATGGAGGCCTGGACATTCTCTGTGAGGCCAGGAGGCTGGAAACGTTCAGAGCCAAGTGTCCAGGCAGAACACAGGACTCGGGGCTGGGGAGAGACCTCTCTTGTCCCGGAGCTGGCAGAGGCTCTTGGCAGGGGATTTCTCTGGTAATTGGTTGGTATGAGCAGTCTTAGGAGGTGGCTCGAAGAAATCATTGCTGCTGAGTGGTGCCATCAGCATGACTGGAAGGGGAGGGTGGGGACAGGCTGGGGACAGGCTGGGGACAGGTGGGAAGAACCTTGTCTGTGAGAGCTGACCTATGTGTCAGCTGCTCAGTGTCTGAGCTACAACTCCGTGAGGAGAACTGGATTCTCCTCTATCCAGCAAGCTTCTGGAACATTCTCTTCTCACTGCTCTGTGCTGGTCCCTAGGGTTATGGGGCAGGTGCACATGTCAGCAGTGCACACGTAACAGAATGGTCCAGGAAAGAGTCCAGGACCTGTAGGCTACAGTAGGCCCGAGAGACCTCCAACTGAGCCAGGGTTCAGGGGAGGCTCTCTGGAGACTACCAAGGTTAGGAGGAGAGAACCAGATGGGACAGAGGGCAGGCTGGATCGGCAGGGCAGGGCCTGGTCAGGGGGCTGGTGCAAGTGCACCCTGCCTTTAGTGGAGTTTTGAGCAGAGGCTGGCTAGCAGTATGGAGGCTGGGGAGAGGAGACCAGGCCAGGGTGGTGGGAGGCATGGCTTATGGAGGGCCTTAGAAGCAGGCAGTGTGACAGAGCTGGGCTTGCAGGGCCTGGGAGACTCCCCCCTGCAGAAAGGCAGGAGCCACTGGCTGCCATTGTCAGAGGCAAACAAGATGGCCTTGGTCACTGGCTTAGGTCACCTGGTTATTGAAACTGGGAGGGGATGAGATGGCCCCTGGTGGGGATACACAGAGTGAATAGAAGGAATTTTCCAGCTATGGACAGGCTAAACATTTACTGGAGGCTGGGAGAAGCCTAGGGGTAGAATCACTGTGTTGTGGGTCCAGGTGGGACACACTGCCCTCTTTTAGAATGGAGCTGTCATTTCTGTTCTTGGGTGAAGTGACTAGGAGGCCAGCAGTCAGCGGTCAGGGAGCTCTGGCCGTGCTCCTGGATCCACCTGCGGGGCCTTGGTCCTCGTAGAGAGGTGGCTCTCCTCCACCCCAGCCTAGCAGTTCACAAAGCCCCATAATTTCCAAAGCAAAGCCTGTCTACACATCACTAAGGCCAGAGAAGACCCTGTCACAGAGCAAGTCACTGACCAGAGCAAGATGAATCCGAGCTTCCACCCACACTGGAGATGCCTCCTTCCGGCTGGGAGGCAGGGGCAGATGTGATAGCTGATGTCACAGTGAGACCTAATGTTGGGGGTTGCATGGATGAGCTCCGGCTTCTTGGCTGTGGCTTCTGTTTCTACCTTCTCTGGAAGACTGAGAATATTAGAATGTATATGTGGGGGTCAAGACGGTACTTGTGTTGGTAGCTGAACTTGGGTGAGAGTCTCCCAAGTGGCACTGTTTTTGAAGGTATGAAGGGGTCATGGAGGGCCACTGAGGCTTGGCACTGTGTGGCAGGGCTGGAATCCCTGAAGAGAGGCCACTAGTGAAGGTACAGCTACTGTGGCAGTCAAAGCCCCAGGATTGAAGGGGCCATGGAGAGAAGTTGAGGCTTGGCACCATTTAGCAGAGTTAGAGTCCCTGAGGAGAGTCCAGGAGGGGCTATTGGTGAAGATGCAGACGAGCTGCAGGGCAACCCCAGCACTTTGGAGATGCCAGGGCCCTGGGGCTACCACCAAGGGCAACAGGAGTCGTGGAGTGGAGCTGGGCCGGGCCTGGGAGACAAGCTGTGTGTACTGTGGATAGCAGATGTGGGAAAGCGCTGCGGCCTTTGGTGCCCAGAGGGTAGTGTGTGAAGCCCAGACATTGGACACTGAATTATTTACACTGTTGGAGTTGGGTTTGATTTGATTTGATTGTGACTGTGCCCTGATTATTCCCTCTTGGAGTAATGATTTATGCCCTAACTTCCTTCGATGATGGACTGTGTGTGACCTGAGAATTGTGAGCTGGAATAAACCCCTTCTTCCCCAAGTTGCTTTTGGTCACGGTGTTTAGCACAGCAACAGGAGCCCCAACTAAGACACCCGCACGTAGAGGCTGGCACCTGATGAGTTAGTCTCAGACACTGTCTCCAGGAAGCTAAGTACCCATGACCACCCTCTCCTCCTTCCAGCATGCCCTCACTCATACTCTCAGCTTGGGGATGGCAGAGGCAGCCAGGTGGCAGAGGGGATCTGTACACATCCCCTCCCTCTGAAGAGCCAGACAGGAAGTATTTGGGGCTCTGCAGGCCCTATGGCTCTGTAGCAGCCGCTTGCCCTAGAGTTCCAGTTAAAGCAAACATGGGCTGTATGCATGATGGGGGGGGGGGGCTGTGTGTGTGTGTGTGTGGACTGTGTGTGG